GATATGAGCAAAATCTCCTCCGCTTAGCAGACGGGTACCGGATGGGACCTACTTATGGCAAGATAGGACCTCACAAGAGGACGCAAGGCCGGCACCGTCGACAATGCTATACAGTTTTGCGTTCCACTTTCTAGAGCGCTTAGTCGTTCTGTTAGAAGGGGTTCCGGTGGCCGTGGTCGGGTCTACCCATCGGCCGGCCGGGAAGGTATGAACCAGCGGCTGCAACAGCGCTTTCCTTCGCGAACTCTTGAGTCCATTAAGAGCCAAAGGAAGAGGACCGAGTACAGAGAGTTGGTGGCGGAATACAGAAACCGAGCGGAGGGCGAGGGCTCAGAGTCATCACTGTCTAACTCAGACAGGGAGGACGAACAGCCTAGCCCGTTGAGGAACCGTGGACGGAGAGGTAACGTTAGGGCGGCGGTGGGCGCCCCCGACGGAGCCGATCCCGACATGCCCCCCCCTGACGGGACCCCCCTGGAAGCTGCTTGGAAGGAAACTATGGTCGAATTCCTTGCAGCTATCGCACCCAGGGGCCAGGAAACCGGATGGGGGGAGGAACTCCTCGACGAGGCAATCACTGACCTGGTCAGTGGTAACGGCCATAACGTGGATAGGATCCTCGAGCGCCATGCTCGGGTGGTAACTACAGCCAAAAGATCTGGTGACCACGCACTGCGCCCCCGCCCTGCGCGTCGGCAGAGACCCCCCCCAATAAACCGTGCCGATCCATCCCAACCTCCGATTGGACGTAAGAGGGAACGAAGGGCACAGTATGTTCTGTGCCAGAGCCTGTACGAGAAGGATCGTTCAAAAGCTGCTGCGCGCGTCCTTTCCGGAGACTGGAAGGTTACCCCCACGGAGGTGGAACCAGCCCGTCTCTTTCCATTCTGGGAAGCACTATTCTCTAGACCCACATCGCCGGACCGCCGCCCAATTCGCGACCGTGATCCAGTTAATCAGCAACTAGGGAACCCAATAACACCGGAGGAAATCCTTGTTGCTCTCAAGGCAAGTAGCAGTGCTGCTCCTGGCCCAGACGGTATCACTATACGTTTACTTAAAGCTATACCAATCAGAGTGTTTGCAAAACTGTTTAATCTGTGGTTGGTAAACGAATCCCTGCCACATCCGTTTCGCAAGAACAAAACGGTGCTTATACCTAAGAAACCTAACCCAGACTCTCCTTCCCATTATCGCCCCATAACGATGTCATCAACGATAGTAAGGCTGTTCCATAAGATTCTGAGCAGCAGACTCTCTGAGGCAGTCAGGATCGACAGGCGGCAGAAGGCATTCATCCCCGTTGACGGATGCCCTGAAAACCTGGTGATCCTGGATGCCCTCCTTGCTGAGGCTCGTGCGCTTAAACACAACACGCACCTGGCGTTTCTGGATATGGAGAAGGCTTTCGATAGCGTCTCCCATCCGGCCATCCACTGGGCCATGAAACGTAAAGGCATTCCGAAGCCTTTAAGGACATATATCATGTCGGGCTATGACAGGTCCTCAACCATTATAACCAGCCAAGGTGAGAAGTCGAAGGACATCCTGATCACTAGGGGGGTGAAACAGGGTGACCCCCTGTCTCCATTTCTTTTCAACCTGATAATTGATGAGGCAATTACCAGGGCTAAAGACCTGGGGCTAGGGGTTGGTCTGGGCGGCGAAAAGGTATCAGCGCTGGCGTTCGCCGACGACCTGGTTGTGGCAGCGGAAACGGCTGCCGGACTACAGACACTCATAACCAGTATTTGCCGCACGCTGCGCGGCTCTGGTCTCAAAGTAAACGCCGCAAAATGCCGGACGCTGAGCATAGCGATTGATGCGCATCGAAAGACATGGCATGTCCCCACCAGGAAGGCATATTATGTCGGAGACGATGCAATCGGTACTATGAGTGTGGCGGACGAGTACAAGTACTTAGGGATACTGATCGGAGCCGGGGGCAGACGCTTATCCTATGGTTCCCTGTTTGAGGACGGCCTGACCAACATCACCAAGGCGCCGCTCAAACCCCAACAGAGGTTATACCTACTAAAGCACCACCTAATCCCCAAGATGAACCACCGCCTTGTCCTCGGACACGTGGCTAAAACAGAGCTGGCGAGGTTGGACCGGCGGCTGCGACACGCCACTCGTGGCTGGCTGCGGCTGCCCCATGACACCCCCAACGCCTTTATCCACGCCGACGTCAAGGACGGTGGACTAGGGATACCCGACTTTACCACATCGATCCGGCTACAAAAGAACAAGCGGCTCGGGGCGCTGACTGGATCAGCGGACCCAGTGGTGGTGGCAGCGGCTCTCCTACCCGCATTCCAAGCGAGAATGCGCCGGTGGGTAGACCCGACCACGGCCGCTGGAACGCCATCCAGCAGGACGACCGAGTGCGCTAGAAGATGGAAGGCAAAACTGTACAGCATGGTCGACGGCGCCGGCCTCGCTTCCTCTTGTGAGGTCCCATCCTGTCACAAGTGGGTTGCGTCCGGTACCCGTTTGCTAAGCGGAGGAGATTTTGGCCACGCCGTCCAAATTAGGGCAAACGCTGTAGCCACGCCGTCTAGGGCGGCTAGGGGTAGACCCGAGGCTTCTGGTCTCTGTGACGCTTGTCGGAAACCAGGAACCCTGGGCCACATATCCCAGGCCTGCCATAAGACACACGGGGCTCGGGTGAAACGTCACGACGACATCACCCGGTTCGTAGCTGGCCGATTGCGGCAAAGAGGCTTTGAGGTGGAGCGCGAGGTCCGTATACCAGACGGAGGGACCTTCTGCAAGCCAGATATTATAGCTTGCAAAGGTGATGAGGCCTTCATATTAGACACCCAGGTCTCAGCTGATAACTTCCCACTCTCCCGTCCACATCAGAGCAAGTGCGACAAATACGGCACCCCCGAGATCCTGCAGAAGGTCCGGGAGTATACCGGTAAGCCTACAATATCCGCCTCCTCAATAACCCTTAATTGGAGAGGTGGATGGTGCAAGGAGAGTGCGCGTGGTCTACAAGGTATGGGTCTCACCAAGAGCGACCTCGAGATTTGCTCCGTGAAGGCCCTGACCTGGATATATTCTATATACAGAATATGGTCCAAGGCCACGTCAAGGGGCAGGCCTCCCTAGCCCCGGGATCACTGTGCACAGGGTGCATAAGGGTAACTATAGTCACGCTTAGGTGAACCGCAGCCAAGTCAGCTGGTAGCCAACTATCTAAGCAGTTTCGTCATCTGGAGTACCACTTCTCCTAATGGCGTCTCACAAGAGGGTGGATGACCTGGCAGAGCCCGCGAGTAGATAAGGCGGCGACCGGAGGGACCCCATGCGCATACATGATAACCCTCCCGCTCCGGGGCCTAGTTAGGAGCATCCACTGTGTCTAGTTTTCCATGTATGCCGACGTCAAATCATCATCCCTGCCGATTGGGCAGCCTGCTGCTTTGGCCTTCAGCGTTCGTTTGTTCTTTTTTAAATGTTATACTGTGTTTACTAGTTGTGTTTTTGCGGGGGTTGAGCTTTGCTCTTTCGGCCCGCCTCTCAACTGTCAATCAACTGTTTACTAACTACTTTTTTTTTTCCACACCACACACACACCCCAGGAAGCAGCCCGTGACAGCTGACTAACTCCCAGGTACCTATTTACTGCTAGGTAACAGGGGCACTTAGGGTGAAAGAAACTTTGCCCATTTGTTTCTGCCTCGTGCGGGAATCGAACCCGCGCCACAGAATTACGAGTCCTGCGCGCTATCAACCAGGCTACGAGGTGCTACTGTGCACCCCTACGTATGTGTGCTGTGTCCCATATAGAAAAAACCAACTACAAAAGAATTTTCCATTAATGTTTTTGTTTATTTTCAGGTTATTATTATGTATTATTAGTATCATCTTAACTCTTGTGGGTGTGATGAGATCTGCCATATATGTTTATTTTAGTTTGTGTGTGTTAGGGTATTAGGTATGCTTAGGGGTCCGTCTCGCCATGCCCTGTGGCTGGGGGGATCGGGCTCCGAAGCTACATAAAAACCCTATACCCCCCCGAAGTGGCAAGGGGAGTTAGGGGACAAAAAAAAAATAAAAGCGAAGCTATACCTAATAAATTCCCTGTAACCTACCTTACCCTTCTATTGTCAACCAATGTCTGTTTTTTTCTTTAAAGAGCGCTGTTTGTCGACATAATTGTATTTGTGCTGCTTTTTCATCTATGTTTTCATTTCTTGTTTTCATTCTACTCATTATGTTCAATTAGTATTAAGCTTGTCATTTAAGTTTATTATGCCCGAAACGCTTTGCGTAATAGTGGCTTTAGGCATTGTATGTACTAGCTCTACCTATAAGTCAAACAATCCTTGTAAATATTTATTGTATGTATGTACCTTACCTAAATAAAATTGTATTGTATTGTATTGTATTGTTAATCTCAATTAGTATTAAGTTTTAGTCATAGTGTTTTTCCTGCCCGAAACGCTTTGCGTAATAGTGGCTTTAGGCATTGTATGTACTAGCTCTATCTATAAATTTACATGTTTGTATCTCACCTTGTATGTATGTACTTTACCTGAATAAACATTTTGATTTTGATTTGATTTTTTGAAATACTATAACACAAAAGTACAAACAAGCGTGTGACTTCTGACTTGGTTTTTATTAATTAATATACATATTAGGCACTTACTTTTAATACTTATTATTATATACATTTATAAGTATGGCATAATAAATGTTATTGGATATTACCCCAAAACTGTCCGAAGTCTTTTTTGTGCGTTCGATCGTGTTCGTGGACATGCAGACGTGTTGTGTTTACGGTGGCGGGCGCCGTTCTTACGAAGTCCGGATTATGTCCATCATATTACTGAGCTTCATTTATTAACTACATGTCTGTTAAGTACAAGATTTGTAACTGTTAATAGCATTATATTGTGGTTTTAATATTGAGCAGTTATATATATTTATACGAAACGTTCTAATTTGGTGTGGGAAATGGTCATAATATATGAGTGTGCGAGATGGTTGGTGTGTACCAAGTGTCTAGTATCCCTGGTGACAACAACAGTGACCCGCCTGGCAGCTGCTCTTATGCTGTATTACTCCTGTTTCCTCGCGTTAGTGAGGCTTAAGGCGTCTTAATACTGATAACAGCATGGTCTGTGGGGCCGTCTGGTGTGGGCTTACGGCTAGACCAACTTTGACATTGTGTGTGTCATTGGTAATTGACCGGAATGGTGGCCCAGAGGTGGTATAGGGTTATGGTGAGGTGGGAGGCGTGTTGCTGGCGGCCTCCGTGTGGGGTACTTCACCGCCTTCGTCAGTAGCACCTGGCGCACTTTATACCAACCATTGTGTGGGGGATACGTATGTACTGTACCCCCAAAAAAATATTTAGAAGATTTGTTCATTAAACATCACTACCGCATATTATGTCAGAGGGTACGAGTTGGTCTTCTGTTGTTAGCATACCTGGAGAAGGAGCATACCTGGAGAGGGTTCTGGGAGTTCTTATACTCCCTGAGCACGACCTGAGGCCCGGCTTGACTTGTGATAACTTGGTCCAACAGGCTGTTGCTTGGAGCGGCCCGCAGGCCCACATATTCACTACAGCCTGGTTGGTCCGGAACGTCTTGCAAGAATTTTTCTAGGTGCCTCTTGAATCATCCACTTTTGTTCCAGCAATATTTCTAATGCTTGCTGGGTGGGTGTTAAACAGCTGTGGACCTCTGATATTCAGACAGTGCTCTCTGATTGTGCCTATGGCTCCTCTACTCTTCACTGGTTCTATTTTGCATTTTCTTCCATATCGTTCACTCCAGTATGTTGTTATTCTACTGTGCAAATTTGGGATCCGGCCTTCAAGTATTTTCCATGTATATATTACTTGATAACTTCTCGTCTCCTTTCCAAAGAGTGCATTTTGAGAGCTTTGAGACGGTCCTAATGATTTAGATGTCTTATCGTTTCTATGCGTGCCGTATATGTTCTCTGTATTCCCTCTAATTCAGATCTCTCCTGCACTGAAAGGGGAAGTGAGTACCGAGCAATACTCAAGTCAGGACAGCACAGTGATTTAAATAGTATTAGCATTGCTATGGGGTCTCTGGATTTGAACGTTCTCATAATCCATCCAATCATTTTCCTGGCCGCTGCTATATTTGCTTGGTTATGTTCACTAAATGTCAGGTCGTCAGACATCATAATTCTCAGATCTTTTACATGTTGCTTTCCTTCTATAAGCAGATCTGATTGTGTCCTGTTCCTTGTGTTTCATTTAACTTCCACGTTTCCACCATACCTAAGTACTGTAACTGGAACTTGTCACTGTTACCTATTTGGACCTCTGCTTTTCATTAGGGCTATTTTGCACATCCTGTCATGGTTCATGGTCTCAAGTGATGTTATTTCCATATGCTGGTTTTGAACCAGTCCCTCTTAATATTTTCAAGGTGTAAATTATTACGTATCTCTTGTCTGCTGTCCTTAGAATACAGATTTAATAATTTCAATTAGTTCCAATAATTTAGATGTTTGCTAGAGTGGATTCTAGCAGTAACGGATCTTTGGGCACACTCCAGGTCAGCAATTTCTCCGGCTTTGAATGGGGTTGATATTGCGTAACAATATTCCACCCTAGAGAGGACTTTCCATACCAGTTCATCATTGGTATGGAAAGTAGGAAAGTATCACCATTGGTATGGCATCTCTTGTTTGAAAGGTTGTTGTTATCCAACCTGTCAGTTTTCTTGCAGTCATGACAGCTACTTTATTGTGTTTATTAAATGTAAGGTCCTCCTACATAATTACTTCCAGATTCTTTATATTGCTTTTTAATTCTGTATTTATATGTAGTTTCCCTTTTTTATATTTTTGTTTCTTCCATTGTGTAAGAGCTTGAACATATCTTCATTAAACAACATATTTTTATCTGTTCCCAATGAAAGACCTCATTAACATCAGGTTAAAGGTTTGTTGTATCCTTTATATTGCCTACTCTCATGAAAATCCTAGTGTCATCTCCAAAGGATGATACAGTTCTATAATTTGTATCCTTCTCTATGTGTGATCAAATATTAAGAAAATGTACCGGAGCAAGCACGGTACTTTAGGAGACTTGAGTTTTTCACTGTGGACGATTCTGAATTTTACTTTGTTGACTATTACACCCTGAGATCTTTTCGATAGGAAGTTCAAGATCCATCTCCATATTTTGCCAGTAATTCCTTTTGGATGCATTTTGTGTGCAATAACACCATGATTACATTTGTCAAAAGCATTTTCAAAATATGAATATTACATCAGCATTTTGTTTGTCTTCCATGGCATCTAAGGCCATGTCATAGTGATCTAGCAATTGTGAGAGGCAGGAGCGCCCTGTTACAAACCCATGTTTATTCAGGAATACACACACTTTTCAAAGATTTTTATGATGTGTGGTGTTTGACCTGTTGGTCTATAATTTTTTGCGTCTGTTTTACTACCTTTTATGAAGTGGGGTGATCTATGCTGTTTTGAGTATATTGGGTAAATATTCATCGACACTTGAATATTGAATTATTCAAGAAAGAGGAAATTTTAAGTCAGATCCTTGTAGGATCTTACTAGATAAATTTTTTAACAAGTTAAAAACAATTTATAGCATCAAAGCTATGTACATTAGTTATTTAATTGAGAAGATCAAATTTATTAATTTAACCATTAACTCTCTTTGGGGACATGGCACATGCTTACATCACAGGAATTTTATTACATGTATCCCATTAATTTATCAACATAATATAACTTGATTAATTACTCATAATTATCTATTTTATAGATATGAATAGGTTGTAATTAAAGTAAGACAACAACAGAAAATGAATCCTTATAGTTCTTAAATAATTTAAATTATATACACAATAATATATGTTTAGGTGGGAGAATTTTCCCACATTTTCCCATACTTATGGTCCTGCTCTCTCGGGCTCATTGTTCACGGCTTGATCTACTAGGGTTTTCAGTATCCCCTGGTGCTGCTGCTGCTTTCTTTAAGAACTCTTGGATTTTTACTCTCCACTGCTCCTAGTATCCTTCTTTTGTACCTCATTCTCTGTAGTGACAGAGCAACAGGGAGCTACTGACAAAGCCCTCCCAGGAAACCAGAATTGAATGTAATGAGGTCTTTCTGGTGTGTCCTTGGTAGCTTTCTGGACCCACCCATTCCCTTTCAGGTGTGTTGGTTTGCCTTAGGGTTGCTGAAGGGTTTCACTGGATGAGCCAGTAGTTCTTGGTGTTGCCATCAGTTGGTGGGGAAGTGGAACTGAAGATTTAATTACCTAACTACTGTGTGTGTCATTTTCTGTTTAGTCTACTTCTCTGGGGTAGCCCTTTCAGCTCCCTGGAGCTATCCAGGCTGATATGTATATTATTAGACTTTGGCATCAATCAGTGTGGATGGAGTTCTAGGCTTACCAGGGACCATGAAGCAGAACCTGGCCCCCTTTAGAGAGGCACGAGGAGCAATAGCTTATAGAATTGTGCATGGGATTTGGAGCAGCCTATGTCTGCCATTGATCGGGCCAGGCACCCAGAAAGGTAAGCGCCTCAAAACAAACCCCTATTCTGGTTAAAACGACTAAAATAGACTAACATGTGGACAGAACTCCCCAATTAAAAACGAGAAAATGACCAGGACATCACATGTGCCGCGCCGTATGTCTGCACAGCTCCTCCCACTCCCAGGGAGGGGGCACTAGTTCTCAGCTGATGTGATTGTGGCTCAGCCGTGTGGCTCCAGCTCCAGATTCTCTTGTGTTGTTCTGTTCTTTGTGTCCAGTACTGCTCTTACGGTGGCGTGTGAATTGGGAGTAATATTCACAGGTACTTGGGCTGCATGTGCTTAGGGTTCCCATTCCTGAGTGCCCTGTAAGTACTGCCCTTGGGGCTTAGGGTTATCTTCCACAAGTCACCTTGGGGATCTACCTTTGTTGGTCTTTTGCTCCCCAGTGATTGAATACCCCCCGAGTGTATTGGTGGTTTCCTCTCTTGTTTACTTGGGGTAAGTGGTAGTTTTTGCACTGGTAGGGGCGCAGGGTACTGCGCAGCTAGTTTTCACCCATAACGGTAGCCGACTCTGTTCCTCCTGGGCACGTTGTCCTCTTGCGGGGTATTTCTTCTCAATTTTGTTTCTGCCTGGGGGGGGGGGGCTTCTGCCTTTGTGTCCCTTGCCCCCAGTTATCTTAGGGTCTTCACCTCTGGTGTTCGGTGGTACCCTCTGCTTGGCCCCTCATGAGTGGACACATCCCGGAGGTTCAGTTTTAGAAGTTTGTTTGGTAGACTTGGGCATCGGTTAGCAGTACCCTGCCTGGGCTTACCCTTAGCGAAAACAGCCTAAGGGCACCTGGGAATTTCCGCAGGGGCGCAAAGGGTCCAATGGATGCGACTCCTGGGCCCCCTCTCACTTCATGCGAGTTTGAGGTTGCTCTGTCCCCTTGTCTCAGGGCAATGGTCATTTTTTTTGCCTCTTGTTATGCTGCCTCTTGGGGTGGTGACACCTTCGACCCGGAGTCCTATGAGAATTGTTGCCTGTTTGTGACTCAATTCGTCCAATCAACTGATGACATTATTCGGGTGCAAGCACCTCAGGCATTGCATGCTAGGTATAGGTTGCTGCAAAGTGCTTGGTTATTTGCTTTCCCGGATGCCCTGAGGCTGCCCCGCTTTGCTTATAGGGATCCAGACTTGGTGGTGTTGGTCGCTTCGGCCTTGGTTCAGTCCGTACCCTCTCATTCTTTCCCTGCTGTTGTTCATTCTGTCCTCCCCTACCCCTTGCTTCCGGTTCCCAAGCATCTGAGGGCTTCAGGGTTTAGGCAGGGTTTAGAGGTTTCTGAAACTCGGGCAGTTTCGGGGGTTGCACCTTCCAGGGTGGCGACGGAAGCATTCAAGTCCATTCCTCCAGCTGTGGCCCCAGGGTCTGACCCGTGGGCTCCTTCTCTTCCTGCTTTTCTGGCCACCTCGGCTTTTTCTTGTGAGGCTAGGGCTTTGGGGGATGACTCGCCCTCAGGGCCTGACATGGAGGTTCCCGGGGTTGGGGAGGAGCTGAGTTGGGGGAATTAGGCCCCGTTGGACCCTGCCTGGGTTTTCAAACCCTCAGAGCGGGGCTTTCTGTTATAAGGAGTTGGGTTTTCCTTTCCTCCCTCTGAGTACGAGTTGGATTTGGGTTCAGCTCCTCCCCAGGTTCTGTTCTGTATCCCTGCGGGTCCTTCGGTTCTGTCCTTCCGGAGGGTTTCGGCTTACCGCATCTCTCCTACTAAGGTGCAGGCAGCCATTGTGGCTTACATCTTGCGTGACCTGGATTATGCCTCTATAATGGATTCGTTGTCTTTCAGGTTTGGGTCATCGTTTCCATACTGGGTTCGTTATAAGGTTCTGGAGTCATCCTGGCTTGCGGACTACCAGTTGTCGTCGTTGGATGCATGGGGTACTTTCTGTTGTACTCACACGCTTGAGTGGTGCGAGGCATTGATGGTGGTCTAGGTTTATTTGGGGGCGATTTTGAGCACTTTATTACGTGCTTGTTCGCTCCTGCCTTTCTGCGGGATATGGGCGCGATTCAGCTTCACGTGCAGGTTTCCTCTGTCAGCTGCGCTCGTGGCTGAGGACTTGCGCGCTCGTGGCTGAGGACTTGCGCGCTCGTGGCTGAGGACTTGCGCGCTCGTGGCTTGCTGACTTCGGTCTTGCGTTTCTTTTCCCTCCTGGAGCTATCTTCGAATTGGCTTATGGAGGATGTGGAGGCGCTTGGAGTCATTCCTGGGGTCAGGTGCCTTGGTCTCGGCTGGTCGCACGTCATCTTTGCTGCTGAAGTTGTTTGTGCCATTCCTGCGAAATGCGGTGTCGCAGTTTTTCGCTTCACGTCTCACGTGTTGGCAGGTTGTGCTCACTTCCTCCATGGAATTTGCTTAGGCCCTGGCTGTTGGGTTTTCTTCGCCCTTTTCTTTTCTTCTTCCTGCACTCGGTCGGGTCGTCTCGGAGTGAGTGCACTTGGGCGTGGTCAAAACGACGACGTCTTTGGTGGGTTTCCCGCCCGTTTCCGGTTCCGAAATGGGACTGTGCAGACCTGCGGTTCATTCTGGACTTGTCCTGTCTGAACCCCTGGGTTTCTGGTCTCTAATTTCGGATGACCACTCTGTCCCTGGTCCGGCTTGTGTTGGAGCCAGGCGCTTGGATGGTGTCCCTGGACTTCAAGGATGCGTATTGGCACATCTGGACTTTGCATCTGGACTTTTTGACACATCTTTATTGTCATTTGTATGGCGATCAGGTGGCTGGTTTGATGTCCCAACTGTGGTCTTCTTCTCAGTGACAGTATGTGGTGTCTTGGTGTTTTTTTCCTCATTTACTCTCCCTTCCCTGTCTTCTTCTTCGATATACATCTTGTTCCTAATACTATCGCTTCTTATCGTGCGGCATTGATGGAACCACTTCTGCTTGCGTTTGAGGTAGACGTTCCTTTGGCCCCGTTTCACAAGTCTGTCTGTCTGAGCCTTCTTGGTAATGGGGTGGGTTCTTTTTCTTTCTTCGCCTCAGTTTACTGTGGCCTCTTTGATCCGGGATTGTTTTTGGAAGGCTTGGTTTTTTTATTTCCTTGGCTTCCGGTTGTCGGGTGGGTGAGCTTCATGCTTTCCTCTGGCGTCAGGATTTTTGGTACTTGGGGGTCATTTTGTTCGTTTACATCCTGCTCCTTCTTTCCTGGCGAAGAATTAGACGATGGGTTTCTGGAGGGGTCCTTTGGTTTTGGTGGCTTGGTTGGTTTGATCAGGGGTGCATCATGTGCTTTATCCAGTAGCGACTTTACGCCGCTACCTTCGCGCCACCAGTTCTGTTTCGGTAGACTCGTTGTGGATTGATCAGGTTTCTCTGATTCCCTGTTCCAGAGCTTGTGTTTCTTAGGTTGTCCACAGTATCATTAAAGTTAGCCAGCCTACGGTCTATGCTCGTGCTCATGATGTTTGCAAGTATGCTGCCTTGTTGGCTGTTTTTGGTAATACAGTACTTCTTGGGCAGATGTTCAGGCTCGGGGGGGGGTTTAGAGGTCTAACGGGGTCTTGGCCGCTAGGTATCTAGCGAACATTCTGGGTCCTCTGCGGCCTTGTGTTGCATTTTGACATCTGTCTCAGCCTTCAGTCGCAACATCGAGGTGTTACCTACGTGGCTCCTGCCTCCCTGGTAGGTTTCCAGTTATTGTCCTTCTCTGTGTTAGGTAGCTTTAGGGAGCCGACAGGGCTCCCCACAGAAAACCAGCATTGAATTAAATGAAATGCCAGTTTCTGGGGGAACCCTGGAGACCCCCTGTCACCCTCCATTCCCCAGGTCGGCAGTGTTTTTCTCGGAAAAGAACTGAAGCCGGTCGGTCCTGGCATCCCGGGCTGGTTGCCCCTCCCTCCTACGAGTGGGGGGAGGTAGACTAGGTTCAACTAGTGGAGGCTAGTTGAACCAAGTTTTGTTGATTCTTTTATTATTGGGGGAGTTCTTTTGTCATTTTGGGGGCTTTGGTTGCATTTTTTAACCAGGCAGTGGTTTGATTCGCCAATCTTTCTGGATGCCTTCCCTGGTGATGGCAAAGATGATATCCTTTAAAATGTATAGTGATCATAGGCCATTACTCTGTGTGCCTCTCTGAGGGGATCAGGTTTTGGCTCGTGGTCCCCAGTAGTCAAAAAGAACTCCGCAACTGATGATGCTGTGTAGTATGGCACTGAATGAGTGATGATAGTTCTAGGGGTCTCCGGGGCTCGCCAAGAAACTGGCATTTCATCACAATACATGCTGATTTTGTTAGTGTATATTTACCTGTACAGTACTTTTGTATTATATTGTACTTATTCAGTACTTTTTCTTTCCAGTAAGTACTTGGAGTGACTCATTATAAGAACAAGACTGAACATTTTTTAAAGATGGAGTGTGGGGAGGGCACTCCAGAGCAAGGACTTGGTGAGGATAGAATCCTTGACAGTGAAGACAGCTCTCCTGCTAGCTCTATTCAAGATGAGTCAACTAGTGCTTCTGAAGACCAAGACAGTGAGTCATCATCAGAAGACTCGCAAGAAAGTAACCCTGTCACATTAATGACTTCTCAAATAACTTTTCCATGGATAAATCCACAAGAAATTCTTCAGGCACCAGAGCTTGAGAGTGAAAAAGAATTAGAGACCAGTAACGCTAAAACTGTTCAGGAGTCAAAATGTAATACTAAAGACGAGACTGTAATATTAATTGATTATGAACAGGACACAGAGGGAAACAGCTACAAAACTGTTCAGGAAAATTTATTGAAGGCAAATGAGCAAATTGGGGAGGATTCTAATGCAGAAGATAAACAAAATGTGCTTTACACAGAGAGTTCCTTAGATGCAAATGAAGAAGCAGTAGCGTCAGATTCTTCATCAGAGAGTATACAATATATGACTACCATCAAGCCAGGTTGTAGGGAGGTTAATTCATCAGACACAGTAGATTCCTCCTCAGAAAGTAGAGAAATGGGAGAAATAAATAATGACACTGACACTGATACTTTGGATAGCTCCTTTGGAGCCATTCAAGAACAGATTGTTGATGAATCTGGTGAAGAAAGTATTCAAGAGACAAGCAGGTACAGTAGTGATGAGGTTACGAGAACAGCACGTGACGAACTAAAGATGGTACTAGATGATAGGGGTGATAACGAGGCCTCTTTCCCTGGTAACGGAGTAGATGAAAGGGGTGATGATGAGGCCTCTTCCCCAGGCAGTGGAGTAGATGAAAGGGGTGATGATGTCTCATCCCCTGGTAACAAAGTGTATATAAGGGATGATGACGAGGTCTCTTCCCCTGGTAATGAAGTGTATGGAAGGCATGATTATGAGGCATCTTCCCCTGGTAGTGGATTAGGTGAAACAGTTGATCATCAGGCCTCTTCACCTGGCAGTGAATTAGATGAAAGGGATGATCATCAGGCCTCTTCTCCTGGCAGTGGATTAGATGAAAGGGATGATCATCAGGCCTCTTCTCCTGGCAGTGGATTAGATGAAAGGGATGATCATCAGGCCTCTTCTCCTGGCAGTGGATTAGATGAAAGGGATGATCATCAGGCCTCTTCCCCTGGTAATGGAGTAGATGGAAGAGGTGATGAGGCCTCTTCCCCTGGCAGTGGAGTAGATGAAAGGGATGACCATCAGGCCTCTTCCCCTGGTAATGGAGTAGATGGAAGAGGTGATGAGGCCTCTTCCCCTGGCAGTGGAGTAGATGAAATGGATGATGATGATGTCTCATCCCCTGATACTGAAGTGTATATAAGGGATGATTATGAGGCCTCTTCCCCTGGTAGTGGAGCAGGTGAAATGGATGATGGTGAGGCCTATTCCCCTGGCAGTGGAGTAGATAAAAGGGTTGATCATCAGGCCTCTTCCCTTGCCAGTGGAGTAGATGAAAGGGTTGATCATCAGGCCTCTTCCCCTGGCAGTGAAGTAGATGAAAGGGTTGATCATCAGGCCTCTTCCCCTGGCAGTGAAGTAGATGAAAGGGTTGATCATCAGGCCTCTTCCCCTGCCAGTGGAGTAGATGAAAGGATTGCTCATCAGTCCTCTTCCCCTGGTAGTGGATTAAGTGAAAGGGTTGCTCATAAGGCCTCTTCCCTTGGAGTAGATGAAAGGGTTGATCATCGGGCCTCTTCCCCTAGCAGTGGAGTAGATGAAAGGGGCGACCATCAGGCCTCTTCCCCTGGAGTAGATGAAAGGGTTGATCACCAGGCCTCTTCCCCTGGCAGTGAAGTAGATGAAAGGGTTAATCATCAGGCATCTTCCCCTGGCAGTGGAGTAGATGAAAGGGTTGATCACCAGGCATCTTCTCCTGGCAGTGAAGTAGATGAAAGGGTTGATCACCAGGCATCTTCTCCTGGCAGTGGAGTAGATGAAAGGGTTGATCACCAGGCATCTTCTCCTGGCAGTGGAGTAGATGAAAGGGTTGATCACCAGGCATCTTCCCCTGGCAGTGGAGTAGATGAAAGGGGTGATGATGTCTCATCCCCTGGTACTGAAGTGCATATAAGGCATAATTATGAGGCCTCTTCCCCTGGTAATGGATTAGAGGAAATGGATGATGGCGAGGCCTATTCCCCTGGCAGTGGAGTAGATGAAAGGGTTGATCATCAGGCCTCTTCCCCAGGTAATGGAGTAGATGGAAGATGTGATGAGGTTTCTACCTCTAATAATGGATTAGGTGACAATAGTGGCGATGAAGCCTGTGTAACCTATGGACCTGAATCAAATGAGAGCCGTGCTGAAGTAATGTATTCTCCTGACAGTGGATTGGATGGAAGGGGTTATGAGGAGGAATCTACCGCTGATAAGGAATTAAATGGAAGAGCTGATGTAGCGTCTACTTCTGATAATGAATTAAATGGAAGAGATCTTGAAGAGATGTCCGCCCCTGATAATGGATTAGATGAAGTGGGTGATGAAGTAATGTATTCCCCTAATAATGGATTAGATGGAAAGGGTAATGAAGAGGTATCTACTACTGATAATGAATTAGATGGAAGAAGTGATGAGGTATCTTTCCCTGATAATGGAATAGATGGAAGGGGTAATGAGGTATCTACTGATAATAGATTAGATGGAAGAAGTGATGAGGTATCTTTTCCTGATAATGGAATAGATGAAAGGGATAATGAGGTATCTACCCTTGATAATGGATTAGATGGAATGGATGATGAGGTATCTACCCCTGATAATGGATTAGATGGAATGGATGATGAGGTATCTACCCCTGATAATGGATTAGATGGAATGGATGATGATGTATCTACCCCTGATAATAGATTAGAAGGAAAGGGTGTTGAGATATCTACCCCTGATATTGGATTAAATGGAAGAGGTCATGAAGCTGTATCAGCCCCTGATAATGGATTAAATAGAAGGGGCGATGAAGCATCTATCCCTGATAATGGATTAAATGATATGGACAATGAAGCAATGTATTCCCATAATAATGAATTATATGGAAAGGGTAATAAAGAGGTATCTACCGCAGATAATGAAGTAGATGGAAGGGTTGATGAGGTATCTACCCCTGATAATGAATTAGATGGAAGGGTTGATGAGGTATCTACCCCTGATAATGGATTAAATGGAAGGGTTGATGAGGTATCTAACCCTGATAATTTATTAGATGTGTGTATTCCTGACAATGAATTAAAGGGAAGAGATCATGAAGAGGTGTCAGCCCCTGATAATGGATCAGATGGAAAAGGTGATGAGGTATCTACCCTTGATAAAGGATTAAATGCGAAGGGTGATGAAAGAATGTTTATCCCTGATAATGTATTAGATGAAGAGGGTTATAAAGAGTCATCTACCCGTGGTAATGGATTAAATGGAAGGGGTGATAAAGTCATGTCTACGATTAATCATCGACAACAGCTGGTACTTTATGGAAGTAGTGATGAGGCGATGTCTTCCTCTGATAATGAACAACAGCCAATACTAGGCAGGATGGGTGATGAACGAGCATCTACCCCTGATGATGAACAGCAGATGATGATAGATAGAGGAAAGAGTGATGCTGAGGCTTCCATTCTCTATCACGGACACCAGTTGGTACTATATGGAAGTAGTGATGAATCAGTATCTTCTGATAATGAACAACAGATGATACTAGATGAAAGTGGCAATGATTTAGATTCTATTTCTGATAAGGGAAAACAGATGGTTCTAGATGGGAAGGGTGATAAAGGGCAATCTAGCCCTGTTACTGGACAGCAGACGAAGCTTGATGGAAAGGTTGATACCGAGTTTTCTGCCCCTAATCATGCACAACAGTTGGTACTGTATGAAAGTAGTGATGAATCAGTGTCTTCTGATAATGAACAAGAGATGATACTAGATACAAAACATGATAAACAGGAATCTACCCACAATAAAGAACAAAAGTTGGTACTCGCTGAAAAGTGTAAAGATTGGGTATCTAACTTTGATGATGGGCAACAGCTGGTATTAGATAGCACTGATGTAATGGAATCTACCCCTGCTAGTGGAGAGCAGCAGGTATTAGACAGAAGCACTGTTGTATTGGAGTCTACCTCTGCTAGTGAAGAGCAACTGGTATTAGACAGAAGTACTGTTGTATTAGAATCTACCCCTGCTAGTGGAGAGCAGCTGGTATTAGACAGAAGCACTGTTGTATTGGAGTCTACCCCTGCTAGTGGAGAGCAGCTGGTATTAGACAGAAGCACTGTTGTATTGGAGTCTACCCCTGCTAGTGGAGAGCAGCTGGTATTAGACAGAAGCACTGTTGTATTGGAGTCTACTCCTGCTAGTGGAGAGCAGCTGGTATTAGACAGAAGCACTGGTGTATTGGAGTCTACCTCTGCTAGTGGAGAGCAGCTGGTATTAGACAGAAGCACTGTTGTATTGGAATCTACCCCTACTAGTGAAGAGCTGCTGGTATTAGATAAGAGAGAGGTTGCAGAGGCTTCATTTAATAATGAACAACATCTAGTTGTAGATGGAAGGGATGATACAAAGGCTTCTATTTCTGAAAGTGAAGACCAAGTGATTAAAGAGGGAAAGAGTGATGTCAAGTTGCCAGTCTCTCTCAATGGACAGCAGCTGGTCCTAGATGAAAGTGATGATGATGCTATGTCTCCTGATAATGAGCCACAGCTGGGTGTTGATGGAAGCAGTGGTGATGGAGAGGCTTCTATCCATGGCAGTGGACATCAGTTGGAACTGGATGGAAAGGGTGGTGCAGATATGTTTATAGTTAATAATGAACAACTGGCATTAGATGGATGGGGTGGAAAAGAAAAATCGACTCGACTAAAACTAGACAAGAGGGATGATACAGAGGCTTCTAAGCTTGATAATGGACAACAGGTGGCACTAGATAGAATGGATGAAGAAGGTACATCTTCCCTTCATAATGAAAAAAAAATAAAATTGAATGAAAGGGATGCAGAGGCATTTGCCTCTGATAATGCATGTAAGTTAACACAAGCTGAAAGTGGTAAGTTGCTTACCCCTGATAATGGACATGAGAACTTACTTACAAAAGAACTGGAGCAAGTTTCCAAAGTATCATTATTAGAAAGTGGTAATATTGACAATGAAAACAAGAGCTTGCCCACACTTGAACCACAGATTGATGGGGTATCAGAGATAACAAGAAATCAAGAGCAAATGCCTGCAGACTTTGTTTCTGAAGAAGTTTCAACATGCACATTTGAGGAAAATGATAACAAAATAGATAATTTTGACAAATCTGAATATGGCCAAAAACTAAAGAGGAAATTTAGAAAAAAAAATCCTCCTATAAACAGAGCAACACAGACTGCTATTCAGCTCTTAGATTCGAGTGAATTTAGTGATTATTCTCTAGACCTAGTCACAATGCAAGTTGAAGTTGGCTTCATGTCTGTGGATGCCCTCCAGAATCTCGATCCCTCCCTTGATGAGTGGCCAGTGTTGCTTGTGTCACAGCTGAGTTTGCGTGATAGTATCATCAGCACCCTCAATGCCAAATTATTAGAGCTCATCTCAAAAGGCCGCAGGCTTGAGCAGGATGCTGACTACCTCAAGCTCAAGGTAAGCTAATAATACAAATGAGAATGTATTATATTATATATATTATATCTCTATCTTAGTATACTTTGGTAGCAGTCTTTCTTGTAAACACATGTTGTTGAATATGACCGAAAAGGTAAGATTAATAATTCTAACACGAATCTTCTCAATATTTCTTATGTTTTTCTTCACTGTCGGTGGTAATAAAAATAACAGTTCTCAAAATTCATTTTTTTTCTATTGTCTGAAGCCTGAACGCGTTTCGTAATTCGTATTACATTTTCAAAGACTTAATTTACACACAAATTCTTTGTACTTATACTCTATTGGATGAGGTGATGTGGTACAAAAGTTTTGGGTGAGGTGACAAACACAAGACAGAACAGGAAACAATGGGTATAAATTGGATAAGTGAACATATGAATGGAAGTAACTGCAGAAGGTCTATTGGCCCATACTTCCTCTTGCTGCTTCCATATTGGTTCGGGGTCTTGAAGTAGGTAGAATATAGTTGTGCATTAATTGGCTGTTGATTGCTGGTGTTGACTTTTTGATGTGTAGTGCCTCGCAGATGTCAAGCCGCCTGCTATCACCGTACCTATCGATGATTTCTGTGTTGTTTGTTAAGATTTCTCTGGTGATGGTCTGGTTGTGAGAAGAGATTGTGTGTTCCTTGATAGCTCCCTGTTGCTTATGCATTGTTAGTTACCTAGAAAGAGACGTTGTTGTCTTGCCTATATACTGAGTTCTTTGGGGCTTACAGTCCCCAAGTGGGCATTTAAAGGCATAGACGACGTTGGTCTCTTTCAAAGCGTTCTGCTTGGTGTCTGGCGAGTTTTTCATGAGTAGATTGGCCATTTTTTTGGTTTTATAATAAATTATCAATTGTATTTTCTGATTTTTGTCTGTAGGGATGACGTTCCTATCAACAATATCTTTCAGGACCCTTTCCTCCGTTTTATGAGCCGTCGAAAAGAAGTTCTTGTAAAATAGTCTAATTGGGGGTACAAGTGTTGTGTTGGTTGACTCTTCAGAAGTTGCATGGCGTTTTACCTTTCTTTTTATGTCTTCAACGAAACCGTTAGAGAAGCCGTTGTTGACTATGACTTGCCTTACCCTACAGAGTTCTTCATCGACTTCTTTCCATCCTGAGCTGTGGCTAAGAGCACGGTCGACGTAAGCATTGACAACACTCCTCTTGTACCTGTCTGAGAAGTCACTATTGGCATTGAGGCACATTCCTATGTTTCTTTGGTGTAGACTGCAGTATGAAAGCCTCTGCTCCTTTCTGTGACTGTTACATCCAGTTGTTGATGCTTGGTTGGTCAGGCTGGGGGTGCATCATGTATTGTGTCCAGTTGCAGCTCTGTGCCGTTACCTGCACGCCACGGCCTTGGTGGCCGGGGACGTGCTTTGGGTTGACCCTCTTTCCCTTCTTCCCTGTTCCAGGGTTCGGGTCTCCCAGGTCATCTGCAGGGTTATTTGGTCCAGCCAGTTGCGGTCTATGCTCGTCCCCACGATGTTCGTAAGTTTGTTGCGCTGGCTGCCGTCTTCGGTAACATGTCTTGGGCTGACATTCAGGCACAGGGTTTTTGGCAGTCGAACAGGGTCCTGGCCACTTGCTACCTTGTTAATGTTTCTGGGCCTAGTCGGGCCTGTGTCGCATTGGGTCGGCGGTTGCAGCCAGTTGTCTCGACTTCACGTTGAAGAGCGAGTGCCGACCGCCTCCCGGGTAAGTCCTGCTTGTTTTGTTTTTGGGTAAATAGCTCTGGGAAGCCAAAGAGGCTCCCCCCAAAAAACCAGCATTGAATGTAATGAAACGTCATTTTGTGGGTGAGACACGGAAGCTCCCTGGCATCCCTCCCTCCCTCCCCTCCGGTCGGCGTTTTTTCACGGTTTTTGACATCCATCCTCAGAACTGCATGGTGGATAGTCAACAGGGAACTGGATGGATGGTGAGGGGACTGGATGGATGGATGGACTGGGTAGATGGATGGACTGGGTAGATGGATGGAGGGACTGGATGGATGGTTGGTGGGGGACTGGATGGATAGATGGATAGTGAGAGGACTGGATGCATGGTGAGAGGACTGGATGGATGGTTGGACGATGAGGGGGACTGGAGGGATGGTGGGGGGAACTTGATGGATGGTGGAGAGGGTACGGATGGATGGTGGGGTGAACCTCCATCCCCCCCCGACACCACACCCTCCCTGCTACCCACCATCCCGCCACCAGACACTCCCTGTTACCTCCATCCCCCCACACCAGATCCCCCTTCCTCCAGCTGTACCCTTCCCAGCCACATCTGGATGGTATTAACGGAAGACTGGCTTCTTTGCTACTGGCTCATGGATCAGGAGGCAGACTGCCCGACTTTAAACTCTTGTTGTTTACTGACTGTGAAAGCCTGATTGACTGTAAATGGCTGACTGACTGTAAATGCCTAACTGGTTGCTACCACAACTGTGAATGCCTGACTGCCTTTGGTTATGACTGCCTGTGACTGGTCTTGACTGTGAATGCTTGACTGATGTGTGACTGTAAGTGACTGATTCTGACTGGCTGCCACATAACAGAGGCAGTGAAATGTTTGAAAGGAAAATCTGGAACCAGTGATGCAGGTACAAAAGCATTTAAAGTGAGCAGGGGATGGTCTCACCTCCCCCCCCCTCCTCCTCATCCTCCCCCCCCCCTCCTCCTCATCCTCCCCCCCCCTCCTCCTCATCCTCCCCCCCTCCTCCTTATCCTCCCCCCCCTCCTCATCCTCCCCCCCTCCTCCTCATCCTCCCCCCCTCCTCCTCATCCTCCCCCCCCCTCCTCCTCATCCTCCCCCCCCCTCCTCCTCATCCCCCCCCCCCCCCTCCTCCTCATCCTCCCCCCCCCCCTCCTCCTCATCCTCCCCCCCCTCCTCATCCTCCCCCCCCTTCCTCCTCATCCTCCCCCCCCCTCCTCCTCATCCTCCCCCCCCCCCTCCTCCTCATCCTCCCCCCCCTCCTCCTCATCCTCCCCCCCCCCTCCTCCTCCTCACCCTCCCCATACACCAACACCACTCCTCCCTCCCTCCTCACCCTCCCCATACACCAACACCACTCCTCCCTCCCTCCTCACCGTCTCCCGTACGCCATCAAGAGTCCTCAGTGAAGGTAAAGTGCAGCTAAATGTTCACTTATTTTATTTATGGTTTATATTTATACCCGATTGTTTTGTGTATAAAAAATATGAGTAGTATTCTGTATAAAATGTATTTTTAAGTTAATATTTTTGGGGGTGGGTAACGGATTAATTCAATCTACATTATTTCTTATGGGAAAAATCATTTTGGTTGACATTTTTTGATTGACGGCGCGTCTGGGAACGGATTATGATCATAAATGAAGGTACCACTGTATTCCTTTAGAGCATTCTATTGTTCACAATTTGATACCATATTGAACAACGTAGCACAAAAATTTAGGTCACAATGCTGAAAAGAGTATAAACATTTGTGAGTGGTGGTGAATTCATGCGCAATGCTCGGCTTTCCTTGAGGTGCGCAGCAGGTCGCCTGCCGGGCCAATAATAATGTTAAGAGTTAGATGCTGGCTTTGTCAAATTGATAAATTTCATAGAAAATCTTGACAGAAATAGTTTGGGTCATCTGAAAGTAAATGCGCCTATTTTGGGGAAAAAAAATGGCCGAGTTTTATTTTGAGTTTGAACCGGCATGTGTTTGTTGACCTGGTTTATTTTCACCCATATGTTCACCCAGTTAGGCAGGTCATGGCACTGCTCTTTAACAAATTGGATTTATGGACTGAGCCAGGGGATGGACTGGGACTGTGGGTGAAAAACTGTAGAACACAATATTCCTTGTTTATGTCTATCATATAACAGCATAAAATAATGATCTTGTTCTGTAAAATTGTTGTATATAATGTTGGAAATAAGGAGAGTATGAATGGTATCTCCCTTAATGTTGCTCACAACATATTTTTAAGGTTTAGAAAAAACCATAGCATATTTGAAATCAAATTCTGGGGTTTATGTAATATTCTTTAGCAAGACTTCTTTTGTTCACTCACGTGGAGCTACTTTTGTGAAATTTGGTACAGTACTGTATAGCCTTGAGAATGTTCTGGGATGTAGGTGAACACTTGGTATAATCAGGGTGTTGATCAATGATCATCACATCAGTGGTTTAACCCCTGCATTTCGCACCTGTTTTTGGCAAAAACTTCATAGTGCAATTGTTAAGGACATATTTTTGTTGTTTTTATAACTGGTCAGGTAAAGTTAATGTCAAAATGTTTTCAAACTCAACTATTTTCATTTCAAAACACAAAGAGTGATGAAAACATTACAAAACATTAAAATATAGCGTAAGTAAAAAAAAAAATGCACAACTCTCAAAACTACATTTGTTGTTTGGCGTAGTGCAGTGGTTAAATTAAGGTTTTGCTTCAGATATGCAGCTACTTTATTTGCACCCATAGGACACAAGAAAAGTGGAGATACTGTAAATTATAACAATATTTGTATTATTGCTTTAAATTGCATTTTGTTATGTGTGTGTGCAAATATGCAAAACCTATGTTATGAGTTGTAGTGAGAATATCTCTAAACTTTGATGATAAACAACCAATACTGTATAGCAAGAATAGCAATCTTTAGATGGAATAGAATTCATTGCAAATAGAGGGGGGGGGGGGATCTGATATGAATTTGTCCATTCGTTTGAAAGTCCAGGGTACTGTAATTCAAATACCATGCTTAGTTATTTGCTTATATAAATTAAACTAGTTTATAGTTTATGCTGCAAACTTAATTCAATTTAATATGTAGAGTACATGTATATCAAATATGTTGTCTTTGTCCAATCATAGTTTTAAGTTAAGATTAGCCCAGAGTCTTAGATTTAAGTTTCCAGATTTAATTTATGAAATACATAAGCATTATGAACCATAATGTATACATGATTAGTAATAGTTTCATTATAGGTTAGCCCAAATATTTAAAATTAAGACTGATGCAAAAGTATTTTCTGTAAACATGAAAGTATAATTCAGTCAGAAAAAGAACCATGACCTTGTTGATGTAAATCCGGCACTGATATGTCGAGTCCCATGTTTTGTTCACATTTGTGGCTGGTAAGAATGCCTATCCTAATCAAACAAAACCCACTGTCTTTGATAATGCATGTGTGATGTGTCTTTTACTGTATATATACCCCACATAGCATATACTGTACACTTCAAGAGATTTGTAGCCTTTTGAGATTTGTTGTCTATATTCTAGGTACTGTATTTCTAGGATGTATTGCGTCCAGCATGTGTGCATATACTTGTGATGTCAGCCATATTTGCTGACTTTGAATTAGGTTTATATTGATCTTTCATTTTGGGTCACATTCCTTCTGACCAGTTGAAAGTGCGATGATGATGATGATCACTATTTTTAAAAATATAAAACTTTTTATTATTGCAGATTGTGGACCTGAAGCAACAAGTCAAGAAAAGTAGGCAATACAAAAAAGAGCAGAATAGTCAAACAACAGATGAAGATTTTGCCAATGCTTGGAATAAATGGTATTCTGGGTCATGGAATCAATATTACGGTGAGAGTGATCCTTCCAGCGCCCACTACTGGCCGGGTCATTATGCTCAGCAGACGACAGTCTCCGCTGTGCCCCAAGTTAAATCCACAGACAATGAAGATGCTACCTTTGGAGGGAGTTGTGTTAATGTTTTGAAACCCGAGGCACAAAGTAGCTTGGACCGAGAAGATGAGAAAGGTGATCATAACATTCAAACATCAGCAGAGAGTCAGCATTGTAAACCTAACACTGTTGAATCTGATACGCAAGATCAGAGTTTAGATAAAAAGACTGAAGTTGTTGAACAAAGTGAACACAAATTAACAAGAAAGAAAAACAGATCAAAGGAGGGTGATTTAAGTAAAGCAGAAGATTCACAGAGGTGTGATGAACCACCAGTGAAGAGTGTAGATGGTGCTGATGAGTGTGCAACAAGTGCTTCTTCACCTGACTTTTCAGATAAAGTGACAATAAGTGCAGAACAAGTTGCAGAGAATTCATGCAAGAATTCTGAAAAAAATAGGTTAAGTAATGAAACTGAAGGCAAGCTTAAGCATCACATCCTAGGACTGACAGATGAGAATAAACCCAAGAAGGCTAAAACTACAGACGAAAATGTAGGATGGGATGCTTCAGGAGACTTAAGTGTTACAGATCAGGTGAAAGCTGTGGCTGCTGAGGCTGTACAAGGCAGCGGCTATGTCTTTCAAGAGGACTTGGGCCTTTATTTTGACTACACCTCGGGATACTACTATAATGCTGTGAGTAGACACTGTAAATAAGATAAGATTTATTTAAATCATTGTACATCACCCAGATTTTTATCCAATAATTTCATCCAAGTTTCTTTGAAGTTAGAATTTGTCTGCTTAGCCAAATGGCTTCCTCCCTCTTCCCTTCAGTGTTTGCATCTTCTGTGGAAACTTGGGGCTTTTCTGTGGTGGGTACCCTCGGAAATTGCATCTCTAGTCTTTCTTGGGAAGCCGATCTCTCTGTGGCATTCATGTCTGTGTGGCATTTCTGGCTGCTTGTGTGTGTGTGTGTGTTTCTCTTTTTGTGCTGGAAGGTTATGGGTTCACTGGTGGCTCAAATGTGCACTGGTATTACTAAGGATTTTTAGTGCTGGGTTCAAGCACCAAGTGTCGGGCTTCAGGCCTAGTGCTTTCTGAACAGTTTCTCTGGCTATTTCCAGGCCATGTGCTGACTGTTTTTTCAGGGCTGTTCACCTGTTATTTTCTGTGCTGTTGGCTTGACTGTATGCCTAGCAGTTTTATGTGTATGTTGGGGTCTTCCCAATTTATTACTGCAAGTTTCTTGTTACCAGGTTGGTAGAACTTGGGTTTTAGGTCCTTGTTTTGCATTTTCCTGGCTGTTGGGTTCCTTTGGTTTTGGCCTGCTTGTGGTCAGGCCAATAAACATCAGAGGTCTGCGGTTGTTCAACGTCCTACCAGCGAGCATCTGAAATATTGCCAGAACAACAGTGGACATCTTCAAGAGAAAACTAGATAGTTTTCTTCAAGGGGTGCCGGACCAACTGGGCTGTGGTAGGTATGTGGGGCAGCGGGCCGCTCCAAGCAACAGCCTGGTGGACCAAACTCTCACAAGTCAGGCCTGGCCTCGGGCCGAGCTTGGGGAGTAGAAGAACTCCCAAAACACCAGCAAGCAGGTATCAAGCAGGTCCTAACTTGGCCTCCTGCGCTGCAGTTTTAGTAACGTAATTTGTTATGGGTGGTCCACGTGAGTATTGGCCTTTGGCTTTGCATGGGGAGAACCTTGACCTCACTGTTCTTGTGCTGCACTTTTGGGATTTTGTGCATTATGCAGTCTCCTCTGCCCCGGCCCTCTTTTGCCTTACTTGTCCATGAGTCAGTCTCTGGCTACTTTGTTTTTCACACCTGTGACCCTCCTCTGCTGAGGTTCCTTTGTGAAATGAACACAGGTAAACTACTGAATGGCCCATGCCAGAAATCATTCATTGAATGCCCTTTTTGGGTGGATACTTAGTACCTTCCCATTCCCACCCCGTTCCTTTCTTCCCTGTGGGGGTGGTGGAATTTGTTTCTTGTAGCTAGTGAGTAAGGGAATTAACTGGCCTGAGCTTCAAGTGACCTGATGACAGCCAGGTCACTTGAAGCTGAAGTGATATGTTTACCTGAAGCTGAGGAAGCACCTGAGGTGGTATGTTTACATTACAATTACATAAGTGTAGTTACAGGATGAGAGCTACGCTTGTGGTGTCCCATCTTCCTAGCGCTCCGTCATATAATGCTTTGAAACTACTGTACTGACAATTTTGGCCTTCACTACCACCTCACCTAACTTGTTTCAACCGGCTACCATTCTGTTTGTGAATGTGAGTTTTCTTATATTTCTTTGCCAGCTTTGTTTACTTACTTTAAATCTGTGACCTCTTGTTTTTGAAGTTCCAGGTCTCAGGAAATCTTCCCTGTCGATTTTATCAATTCCTGTTACTATTTTGTACGTAGTGATGATATCACCTCTTTTTCTTCTGTCTTCTAGTTTTGGCATATTTAATGCCTCTAACCTCTCCTCGTAGCTCTTGCCCTTCAGTTCTGGGAGCCACTTAGTAGCATGTCTTTGCACCTTTTCCAGTTTGTTGATGTGCTTCTTAACACTTTCGCGCTCTCGGCGCTCAAAAAAAAACAATACCCCAGATGCTTTCGGCACTTCGCGCGCCTACGCGGTAAGACTGAAAAAGTGTACACACTTTTGACTGTCCTGATAATAATTGAAGGCGCACGTATTTAAATTTGGTATCACTGTGTTCGCAATGAAATTGTCTATAAGAGCATACCTATAAAATGCCGCCCAAGCATAAGGAGTATCAACACCAAATAAAAAACTATGCAAATCACTCGCCGAGAGCGCCAAACAGCAACAAAATGTTTCCACTCTCTTAATGGTTGCGAAGCCTACAGTTGTCCTACATTGCTAATTTTGGTATCATTGGAATCACAATAAAATTCTCTACACGGACATATGCATATGAATGTTTAATATAGGTAATTGCCCACCCGCAAGAGTGTGTGAAGTGGAGAGTAGTTGGCTGCGAGCGCACTGGCGAAAACACAGGGGGGAAATCATGCTTGGAAAGTTTATACGTTTCCTGACTCTACTTTTCTATGTACGTATTTCTTTTTTATACCAATGTGTTCGCAATAAAATTTTCTATAAGATGAACTGTATAACATTTGTACAAAGCATGTGTAAGAGAAGCGCCAAATATAGAACCACGTCGCTCAGTATGCGTTCGCGGCAGAAACGAACGCATTGTTTTCGTTCGTTTGATGTTTGTCATGTTTATACTTGTTGAAACATTTTATAATTTGTATGACAGTGATCGCAGTAAAATTCCCTACACAGACATATACATAACACATACAAATATTTCCCACGTGTTGGATATATCAACGGCTAAAGGGAACCCACTGCCACACGCTCGCCACACCCCCAAACATACTTTGTGTATTTTTTTTTTTACTCATAGAAGTTTATGTGATATAATATTCATTCTGGTACCAAAAAATTCGCAAATAAATTCTCTACAAAACAAAAGTATCCCCATCCATTTCGGTTAAAAAATGGAATTTATAGAAATATTTTTTCGATGGACGAGAAAAGTAGGCTGTTATGCGGAATCGTAAGAAAAAACGGCGACGAGTTATCTCTAATCTAAAGCGCGAAAGTGTTAAGATATGGGCACCACACAACAGCTGCATATTCTAGCTTTGGCCTAACAAAAGTCATGAACAATTTCTTTAGTATATTGCCATCCATGTATTTAAAAGCAATTCTAAAGTTAGAAAGCGTAGCATAGGCTCCTTGCACAATATTCTTTATGTGGTCCTCAGGTGATAGTTTTCTATCTAGAACCACCCCTAGATCTCTTTCTTTATCAGAATTCTTTAAAGATTTCTCACATAATATATAGGTTGTGTGGGGTCTATGTTCTCCTATTCCACATTCCATAACATGGCATTTATAAACATTAAATTCCATTTGCCAAGTGGTGCTCCATATACTTATTTTGTCCAGGTCATCTTGAAGGGCATGACAATCGTCTAAATTTCTTATCCTTCCTATTAGCATCATCAGCAAACATGTTCATATAATTCTGTATACCAACTGGTAGATCATTTATGTAGACAATAAACATCACTGGTACAAGAACTGAACCCTGTGGTACTCCACTTGTGACATTTCTCCAGTTCGATACATTGCCTCTGATTACAGTACTGCCCTCATTTTTCTATCAGTCAGAAAATTTTTCATCCATGTTAGAAGCTTATCTGTCACCCCCTCCAATATTTTCCAGTTTCCAGAACAACCTCTTATGTGGAACTCTGTCGAAAGCCTTTTTTAGGTCCAGATAGATGCAGTCAACCCAACCATCTCTTTCCTGTAATACAGTATCTCTGTTGCTCGATCATAGAAACTGAATAAATTCGATACACAGGATCTTCCAGATCGAAAACCATACTGTCTGTCTGATACTGTATCATTTCTCTCCAGGTGTTCTACCCAATTAGTTTTGATTAGTTTTTCCAATACTTTCACTATTACACTGTCAATGATACAGGTCTATAATTGAGGTGGGGGGTCTTCCCTGCTGCCACTTTTGTAGATTGGAACTATGTTAGCCTGTTTCCACACGTCTGCTATGATTCCTGTACACAGGGATGCCTGAAAGATCAGGTGAAGTGGAATGCTGAGCTCAGATGCACATTCTATCAGAACCCATGGTGAAACTCTGTCTGGACCAGCTGCTTTGTTCTTGCCGAGCTCCTTTTGCATATTTTCCACTTCATCTCTAGACACCTCTAGACATGTGTGTACGTGCATACGCTCGTGTGTGTAATACACCTTGTATATGTGTATTTATATATGTATATACTTTGTCTTTCGGAAGGGGCTCCTTTCCCTTCGCTGTTGACGGGGCGCTGGGGGAGCAGCTTACTCTGTTGGCTCTCGCTTGGTCCCGCAGTTAGTGGGCGTTTTTGGTTGTCTTCCGGCCTCTTGTGGCAGCGGACGTCTTCACCCCCTTTGGGGGGTTTCAGGGCTGGCGGGGGTGGGCTTCTTCCCCTGCACTTCGTCATGTCATCTTAGTGAGTGCGGTTGGACGTGGTCGATCTGCCCCATCCTTCTGGGGTTCCCGTCTGCTCTATGCAGACACGGGCCTGGTGGATCTGCGGTTTTTCTGGACTTGTTCAGTCTGCTCCCTGGATTTTTTGCCCTCATTGGAGGACTGTTGTCTCCGGTCCGGCTTCTATTGGGGCCGGGTGCCTGGATGGTGGCCCTGGACCTCCAGGTCACTTCTTGGCACATTCCTCTCCAGGATTCTGGGACTGGCACAGTTGGTGGTGGGGCTTCAAGCTTGCCACTTTTGTTGCCTTCCCTAGTTTGTAATTGGCATTTGGTGTATTTACGCATCTTTACCGGATCTTGGTGCTCTGTCTGAGTCTGCTCGGGATTCGGTGTCTGGCCTACCTCAACGACTGGCTGGTGTGGACTCCCAGTCAGTCCTCTTGTTTGCTCGCCAGGAGTGTGGTTCTTTCCAGATCGCCGGGTTCAGTTTCCTGGTAATCTGGAGGCCGTTCCATCTGTTTCCGTCCTGGGTTCGGACCTGGCTGGGTCTTGTTTAGGGCTCTTGGGGCGCTCCTTGTCTTTCCCTCCAGAAGTGTTGCTGCGGCTGTGGTCCTGTCTTCGGCTGTTTATGAGGGGGTCCCCAGTTGCTCGGTGG